CATGCATGAGATAGTGTAACCGTACCCTTACGATCATCCACGGGTAATTTATAAAAAACGTTTGATTTGTTTTAAAATAATGACTGACTTAAAATTATGGTACGCGACAAACTATGGATGGTACCAGTGTTTGGTAAGTTACATTCTTTTAAGTAACTCGTTACTATCGAAATTCAATTTTTTTATCAAATGGGAATCAAATTAAAATGTGAAATATGTACATGTAATACATGTATTTATTCAAGTTCTTCACATAGATTTGCATTCATTTTAATAAAAGCATAATCTATTCTTTCCCCTAAAGTTTTACGTGGAAAAATTTTAAAATTTCCTGGTAATCCAAGTAACAGTAGGTCTTTAAAAGATAATTTTTCTCTTCTATTACATAATCCATAATTTTTTTATCCAATATTTTTTGAGTAACTAGCATTGAATCGGAAGACCAGTTTTCCAAATGAGTTTGCTTCTTATTTGACTGTGACGAAGAATCTGAGAATTGTTGTTTGTATTTTCTCTTTTTTTTCTTTCGCTATAGCTGCTTCTAATTCTCTAACGCATCCATGTTTAACCTATTCAAGTATTTATTTATAAAATTTTTTAAAATATTATCATTATTAGGAAATTAGTTTTTATAATTCTGGATTGGCATGGAGACAATTCAACCTTTTTCAATCCTACAATTACCCGCTTCTACACAACCAAATGTACAAAAAAAACCGTTCATAACGTTCTACCCTTCAATGACTGACCCTACAAAAACGGATTGTTAAATTAATAAAGATACCAATCCGTAACACGAAATACAGATTCTTCAATGACCGATTCTACACATTATGTTAATGAGTAAATATAAAAATTTTAAATACCGATTCTTCAATGACCGATTCTACAATTTTTATCAATGTAGAAGAATAAACAATTTTAAATACCGATTCTTCAATGACCGACTCTACAAATTTTGTTAATCAATAAAAAGAAAAATTTAAATCCCAATTCTTCAATGACCGATTCTACAAATTTTCTTTAACAAGAAAAATAAAAATCCCAATTCTTCAATGACCGATTCTACAATTTTTATCAATGTAGAAGAATAAACAATTTTAAATACCGATTCTTCAATGACCGACTCTACAAATTTTGTTAATCTTTAAAAGGAATAATTAAAATCCCAATTCTTCAATGACCGATTCTACAATTTTTATCAATGTAGAAGAATAAACAATTTTAAATACCGATTCTTCAATGACCGACTCTACAAATTTTGTTAATCTTTAAAAGGAACAATTAAAATCCCAATTCTTCAATGACCGATTCTACAAATTCACTTTAAAAATAAAAATAAAAGTCCCAATTCTTCAATGACCGATTCTACAACTTTTATCAATGTGGAAGATTAAAAAATTTTAAATACCGATTATTCAATGACCGTCTCTACAAGTTTTGTTAATCTGTAAAAGGAATAATTAAAATCCCAATTCTTCAATGACCGATTCTACACATTATGTTAATGAGTAAATATAAAAATTTTAAATACCGATTCTTCAATGACCGATTCTACAATTTTTATCAATGTAGAAGAATAAACAATTTTAAATACCGATTCTTCAATGACCGTCTCAACAAGTTTTGTTAATCTGTAAAAGGAATAATTAAAATCCCAATTCTTCAATGACCGATTCTACACATTATGTTAATGAGTAAATATAAAAATTTTAAATACCGATTCTTCAATGACCGATTCTACAATTTTTATCAATGTAGAAGAATAAACAATTTTAAATACCGATTCTTCAATGACCGTCTCAACAAGTTTTGTTAATCTTTAAAAGGAATAATTAAAATCCTAATTCTTCAATGACCGATTCTACCAATTTTCTTTAACATGAAAAATAAAAACTTTTAAATACCGATTCTACAATTTCCGATTATTTGTAAATTAATAATTATAAATCCCAATTCATCAATGACCGATTCTACAATTTTTATCAATGTAGAATATAACTTTATTAACTCTCCCTGCATCTCCCTGCCCCATCGTCCATCTCAAAAATCTCTCATGCATACTTTCCAACTTTCCTATTTCATTCCACCCCCAAACTTCCACTCCATAACTCACTATCGACCATACTAACGCATCAAACAACCACACTCTTTTTCTCCAATCATCCTTAAATCTCCTTTTACCAATTCCCCATACTTGCCCCATTGCTTTACCCCCCTTTTCTATCCTCCGCGCCACATTCAAATCTTGTTTTCCATTACACATAAACCAATACCCTAAATAACAAAACTCATTCACCTCTTCCACACATTTTCCATTCATCCTCCAATCCACCTCTTCCTTATCTTTTTTCTTTCTAAATCTCATCACTTTCGTTTTCTCCACATTCACACTCAAATCTTTTTCTCTCACATATTTCTCAAACTCTTTCATTAATAATTTCATTCCTCCCTCATCCTCAGCCATCAAAACCACATCATCCGCATATGCTAACGTAAATATCCTTCCATTCTTTAATATCACTCCCCCTTTCCCTCTCTTACACATTCTCTCTTCCAAATCCGCAATCAATAAATTAAACAATATTGGACTCAGGGGGCAACCCTGCCTTAGCCCTCTGCCCAACCAGTATTCCTCCCCCCTTCTATCCCCAATTTTAACCCTTTCTTTCGTGTCCTCATATAATTCTTTTATCCTCTCTATTAACCCATCCTCTATCCCTCTCTCTCTCAAAACCCTCCATAAAATTCCCCTATTTACCGATGGGAATGCCGCCTTCAGATCTACAAATGTAGCCACCAATTTACCATTATTCCCCCCTAATTTCCTATTTATCAAAAAATTCAGGACATATATATTATCCATCGTCCCCATTTCCCTTCTGAAGCCAGTTTGGTTATGCGGTATGCAGCCTAGTTCTTCCACTTTCTTTTCTAGTCTTCTTCTTATTACCTCTGCATACACCTTATAACCAACTGGCATCAACGTCACCCCCCTATAATCCTCTACCCTTTTTCCCTCTCCCTTTTTTATAATCGGCGCTATTAAACCAGTCTTCCATGATTCCGGCCATCCTTCCCCATTCCAAACCAAATTCACCACCTTCCACATTTCATCCCTTACTACTTCCCCCCCAAATTTCAAACTTTCTCCCTCCATACCGTCCTCTCCCGCCGCCTTACCCCTCTTCAGCTTTTCTATCGCCTCGACTACCTCTTCCCTCCCTATTTCCGTCTGTTCCATGTCCACATTTCTTTTTCTCCCCTCTCCTCTTATTCTGTGTTCCATCCCCCCACTTAATCCTTTAAAATAATTTGTCCAATCTTCCATTCCAATCTCCTTATTAATTTCTTTTCCTCTCTTTCTCTCTCTATTAATCACATCCCATTCCCTACCTTCTTCTATTGCCTTTTCCACTTCTTTAATATATCGTTCCCTTCCTTCATCTCTTTTCCTTCTTACTAACTTCCCATGCTCTTTATGCCTCTTATTATATTCTTGCTTTTCCATTCTGCCGTTCCTCCACCTCTTTATACATTCCCTTAATCCCTTTCTACTTCTTTCACATTCCTCGTCCCACCATCCTCTTCTACTTTCCACTTTTCCTTCTTCCTCACTTTCCATGTCCTTTCTCACTTCTCCAATAATTCTTTTCAACCTCTCCCACCTATAATTTACCCCCCCTTCTTCTTCAAACTCCCTACTTCTCTCTTTTATCCTCCCTTCAAACTCCATCAATCTTTGTATCTCCCACTTTCCCATTTTATCTTTTCTAATTAATCCTGTTCTTCTTTCCACCCCTTTTTTTTGCCCTTGGATTTCCACTATTATAGGAAAGTGACCAGAATCAGTCTCGCTACCTACCTCCAATTTCCTTATCCATTCTTTCGTTTTTTCATCCGCTATGACGTAATCTATCACAGTCTGCCCTTTTCCCATAAAAGTAAACTCTCCCTCTCTATCCCCCCTCGTACACCCATTACATATCGACCAACCCCCCTCTCCTATTATACTTAGCATTTTTCTACCCTCCTTGTCTATTTCTTTATGTTTTGATTTCCTTTCATACCTTTCCTCCTCCCCATTCCAATATCCCCCACCCAACTCCCCTGTCCATGCATTAAAATCCCCCCCTATAATAGTCATTTCCTCCTTCCCTCTTTCTATCCATTCCTCCACTATCCTCCACCCTTTACTATCCCCTCTTCTTCTATAAATCCCCACCACGTTTAAATTCTGACCTCCCACTCTAATTTTTCTCACCATACTGTCATCCTTCACCCATTCCTCCCCACCAACGATCTCTTCAATGCTATTTTTTACCCCAGATATCATTCCTCCAGAACTTCTACCCCTTATGTGGTCCCTTTTCGCTCCCCGCATCATCCATTTATATCCCCTCGGCAGTTTTCTTTTTATCCCTTCCCAATCTTGCTCTTCTACCCATGTTTCACTCAAACTTACAATATCCCATTTCCCTAAATCCCTCCAAAAACCCTCCTCCTTATTATTTAAGCCCGAAACATTCCAAAAAATCAATTTAATACTACCCACTTCCCTCCCTTCCTCCCTTATTCCTTTCCTCTTTCCCCTCCAAACCCCATTTCTCTTCCCTCCTCCATAATCTCCTCTGTTCCTTCCTTTACTATCCATTTCTTTCCTTTAATCCACAAACATTCCCTTCCCCAACTTACCATATTTCCCTTATTCCTCTCCTCCCATGCCTTCCTTAATAATACCCTGTTAATAATCCTTTCCCTTCTAGTCCTAATCTCATCAATTCTTATATCCGTCCCCCTCAATTTACTCTTCGCCCTCATAATTTCCTGCTTTTCTTCCTCCCTTCCCAATTCCACTAGCCACATCCTTACCTTACCCTCCCCATCCTCCCCACCTAGTGGTTTAACCTCCTTCAAGTCCACCCTTACCCCTATTCTTTCAAATACCCTTTCCACCTCTCCTCTCCCATTCTTCCTTTCCGCCCTTATCCCTTTTATTACTACATTCCTCCTCTTTTTTCTTTTTCCAAAAATTCCATTTGCTTTTTAAGCTCCCTTACCTCTGTCTTCAATTCCTCCATCCCCTCTATGTTTCCCACTTCTCCTATTTTCTCTATGTTCTCTACTCTTTTCTCTAGACACTCTAATCCTTCTATGCTATCTTCTATCTTTTTTACCTCATTCCTCCTTTCTTCCTCCATTTCTTTAACCTCCTTCTCCAAACTACCTAACTTTTCCCACACATTATTCTTCTCCTCTCTCCATTCTTCCTCATATCTTATCCACATGTCTCTTATTTTTGCCATCTCTGCCAACACCCCTTCCATCCTCTTATCCATTCTCATACATCTTTCCTCGTCTTTTTTCCTACTTTCTTTTAACTCTTTTCTCACATTTTCTAACCCTCTTTTCGATTCTTCCCCCATTTTTCTCAACATTCCTAGTATCTCCTCAAACCCCTTACCCTCATTTTGACCTTCTTTCTCTACTTCTGCCTTCTGCTCCCCCCTTTCCATTTCCTTTTTTTCTTTTTCTCCTCTCAAAACAAAATCCTTCATAAATCCCGATTCCCCCGCAGTCACCGAACCCTCTTTCTTTTCCTTATTTGTTTTCCTACCCCTTGAATCCTTTCCCTCTTTCTTTTTCTCACGATCCGCCCTAAGCTGCGCTTCTTTTCTATTTCTACAAGGCGAATCAAACACTGCAATCTCACTGCCTGCCTCGCTCGTAGACTCCCCTTTACCTGCTATGCTCGCTGTCTCACTTCCCACGCTTGCTCTCTCGCTCTTCGTCTCCTCACTCGCAGACCCAACCGACTCTGTCTGCCCTCTTGTCTTCTTAGGCGGAGTCACGAACATCGACATGCCCCTACCTTACCCACCTAGCCTGCTATTCCTCTCCTTGTCTCTCAATCTCCTGACCCACTCACTCTTTCTAACCTTACAATCTCACAACGTTCACTCTTTTACCTTTTTCTCAATTTTACTAATACTCACTCACCTATACTTTTTACCACTTATACTCCACACACTATCAAACACTTTTTTACACCTCACTTTACCCTCCCTTCAAAAAAGCCCTCAAAAATCTTAGAAAATCAATACTACCGCGTAAACACGTGTACTCACAATTAGTACCGGAAACGGAAGCCCCATTTATCAATGTAGAAGAATAAACAATTTTAAATACCGATTCTTCAATGACCGACTCTACAAATTTTGTTAATCTTTAAAAGGAATAATTAAAATCCCAATTCTTCAATGACCGATTCTACAATTTTTATCAATGTAGAAGAATAAACAATTTTAAATACCGATTCTTCAATGACCGACTCTACAGATTTTGTTAATCTTTAAAAGGAACAATTAAAATCCCAATTCTTCAATGACCGATTCTACAAATTCACTTTAAAAATAAAAATAAAAGTCCCAATTCTTCAATGACCGATTCTACAATTTTTATTAATGTAGAAGAATAAAAAATTTTAATTACCGATTATTCAATGACCGTCTCTACATGTTTTGTTAATCTGTAAAAGGAATAATTAAAATCCAAATTCTTCAATGACCGACTCTACAAGTTTTGAAAATCTTTAAAAGGAATAATTAAAATTCCAATTCTTCAATGACCGACTCTACAAGTTTTGTTAATCTTTAAAAGGAATAATTAAAATCCCAATTCTTCAATGACCGATTCTACAAATTTTTTTTAACAAGAAAAATAAAATAAATTGGGATTTAAATTTTTCTTTTTATAGATTAACAAAATTTGTAGAGTCGGTAATTGAACAATTGGGCTTTTTATTTTTCTTGTTAAAGAAAATTTGTAGAATCGGTCATTGAAGAATTGAGATTTAAATTTTTCTTTTTATAGATTAACAAAATTTGTAGAGTCGGTCATTGAAGAATTGGGATTTTAATTATTCCTTTTAAAGATTTTCAAAACTTGTAGAGTCGGTCATAGAATAATCGGTATTTAAAATTGTTTATTCTTCTACATTGATAAAAATTGTAGAATCGGTCATTGAAGAATTTGGATTTTAATTATTCCTTTTACAGATTAACAAAACTTGTAGAGTCGGTCATTGAAGAATCGGTATTTAAAATTGTTTATTCTTCTACATTGATAAAAATTGTAGAATCGTTCATTGAAGAATTGGGATTTTAATTATTCCTTTTAAAGATTAACAAAATTTGTAGAGTCGGTCATTGAAGTATCTGTATTTAAAATTGTTCATTCTTCTACATTGATAAAAGTTGTAGAATCGGTCATTGAAGAATTGGGACTTTTATTTTTATTTTTAAAGTGAATTTGTAGAATCGGTCATTGAAGAATTGGGATTTTAATTGTTCCTTTTAAAGATTAACAAAATTTGTAGAGTCGGTCATTGAAGAAATTGGATTTTAATTATTTCTTTTAAAGATTAACAAAATTTGTAGACTCGGTCATTGAAGAATCGGTATTTAAAATTGTTTATTCTTCTACATTGATAAAAGTTGTAGAATCGGTCATTGAAGAATTGGCACTTTTATTTTTATTTTTAAAGTGAATTTGTAGAATCGTTCATTGAAGAATTGGGATTTAAATTTTTCTTTTTATAGATTAACAAAATTTGTAGAGTCGGTCATTGAAGAATTGGGATTTTAATTATTCCTTTTAAAGATTTTCAAAACTTGTAGAGTCGGTCATAGAATAATCGGTATTTAAAATTGTTTATTCTTCTACATTGATAAAAATTGTAGAATCGGTCATTGAAGAATCGGTATTTAAAATTTTTATATTTACTCTATAACATAATGTGTAGAATCGGTCATTGAAGAATCGGAATTTCGTGTTACGGATTGGTATCTTTATTAATTTAACAATCCGTTTTTGTAGGGTCAGTCATTGAAGGGTAGAACGTTATGAACGGTTTTTTTTTGTACAGTTGGTTGTGTTGAATCGGGTAATTGTAGGATTGAAAAAGGTTGAATTGACTCCCTGCCTATGGATTTTGTTTGCCATTTTAAGAATTAATTTACAAATCAATTAATAAGGTACAATTTCGACTTGGGGTTGCTAAAAATTATTTTTATAGACTCTTAAATAAAAATCTATATAAAACTTAAGAATATAAATAAATTAATTAATTAAAATATTATTTTAAAAAATCTTGTACACTGTTTAAATTATGCAGGTATATCCCCTATATTGCAACAGTAAACCAAACGAATACGATGGAACACGAGCACATAAAAAACAGAATGTAAACACTCGGTACAATGCTCAGCATGCGAGCGCATAGACCATGTTCTTTTGCTTTCACTTTGCGCGCTTTTTTTGAAAATAATCACCGTAACAGTTATATAGTATAACAAATATGGCTGCAGAGATAATTCAAATTCTCTAGAATAGTAAAACTGAAGTTCCTGAAGGTATTTAACTGTATTATCGATATATGATAAATAGACTGTTGATTCAATATCTCTGGAAGAGTGATAACCTATAAATAGGTTGTGTATTCCTTTACATCACAGCAGTGAATTTCAATATCTTCGATAGAGAGAAATGACTTAATTCCGCATATTTCACGTGAAATACTCAATTGAACTAGATAAAATTTGTAAGTAGTCTAATACATTGAATTCCTTAAATTAATATTTTATGTTTGCTGTGCTACTGTCTAAAAATTTTTTTTGCGTGTTTTACAATTTTTTTTATAAATTTTTTCTTATAAATTTTGTTTTATAAATTTCTTTTTAAACTAATCTTTGGATGAAATTTGTCCTTATATGAGTACTAGACGTTTTAAATATGCAGGAAAAGAATGGGAGAACTTTACAGATGGGCTTTAAAGCAAGAGATAGAAAACCGTAGGTGAACTGGTCATTTTGTGTCTTTCGTGCGCGTTCGCGGTTATATGAAGATATTTCAGTTGAAATTGAAAAGCGCACTTTGGCGCACTAACACATGAAACTAGGTAGTATAAGGAGTGTTTTAATACCAAACACATTAGGATATCCAGAATTGGCGAGAATTGGCAGCATTCGGCAGCGCGCATTTTTTGAATAAATGTGAAATTTTGTAATTAAACTAACCTAAACTAACTAATTTCCTTTAGCTTTAAAGTGTATTCACCATCATTCTAGTCAGTACATCCTACCTGAATAAAGAAATGTGAAAATTAACAGAACTTTTTAGAAAACCGTATATGTTTCACATTTTTTAAGTAATATTGACAAAGTTCAAAAAGCATTAAATTTTAAAAGTAAATCGTTTATTAAAAAAAAATGTAAAAGAAAAATCTTTTAAAACTTTACTATTGACTAATTTGAGGTCTATGGATAACAAAAATATGCTTATTTAACCTCAAAAAAAATCGACTTTTGGCCACTTTTTTGGTATTTCCGCCCATTGTGCATAGATTTGCATTTATTTTAATAAAAGCATCATCTATTTTTTCCCCTAAAGTTTTACGTGGAAAAATTTTAAAATTTCCTAGTAATCCAAGTAACAGTAGGTCTTTAAAAGATAATTTTATCTCTTCTATTACATAATCCATAATTTTTTTATCCAATATTTTTTGAGTAACTAGCATTGAATCGGAAGTCCAGTTTTCCAAAAGAGTTTGCTTCTTATTTGACTGGGACGAAGAATCTGAGAATTGTTGTTTGAATTTTCTCTTTTTTTTCTTTCGCTATAGCTGCTTCTAATTCTTTAACGCATCCATGTTTAACCTATTCAAGTATTTATTTATAAAAATTTTTAAAATATTATCATTATTAGAAAATTAGTTTTTATAATCATGGATTTTGTTTGCCATTTTAAGAATTAATTTACAAATCAATTAATAAGGTACAATTTCGACTCGGGGTTGCTAAAAATTATTTTTATAAACTCTTAAATAAAAATCTATTTAAAACTTAAGAATATAAATAAATTAATTAATTAAAATCTTATTTTAAAAAATCTTGTACACTGTTTAAATTATGCAGGTATATCCCCTATATTGCAACAGTAAACCAAACGAATACGATGGAACACGAGCACATGAAAAACAGAATGTAAACACTCGGTACAATGCGCAGCATGCGAGCGCATAGACCATGTTCTTTTGCTTTCACTTTGCGCGCTTTTTTTAAAATACAAAATTATTAAGTTTTTAAATCAATAAAAAAGTGCAATGAAAGTAACGAAATAACTTAAAATTAAAAGTTACGATTAAAATAGTAACTAAGTTACGTTACAAGTTACTTTTAAAAAAAGTAACTTAGTTACGTTATAAGTTACAAGTAAAGTAACTTTTTCAGTAACTTAGTTACTATTAACTAGTTACTACCCAACACTGGATGGTACATGGTACAAAGGGTCAAATTATGGTACGATTATATACTTATGGTACAGTCTGGCAACACTGAAAGCGATTGAGCTCCTCTAATTGTTCCGGATTGTGATCGGTGAGCACGTTGAAAGCATCCATAGACGTGAACATTTTCACAGCCAATGGAAGGTTTCCATTGTCGCTTTCTATAGTCCTTACTTGAAAAAATGCATAGTAGCCTCAAAAACTTCTGCTGTTTATGGCAAGTGTAGAATGAGCATTACTGACGGTCGTCATTTTTAGTAAGTGTAAGTGTTAACCAAAAATTAGAAAAATACGATACATAGCAATTTCTTCATCCTTTGCGTGCCTTAGCTGGGTCCCTCGGACCAAGACAACATTTTTTCCATGTATCAATTGAAAAAAATCTTATTATAAAATTGTTATCCATTAAGAGATGGTGAACATATAATATATCTCTTTAACAATATGTAAGCATTTTTTATGTACAACTTGGTGTAATACATTATATTATAGTTCTGGTATTCGTGGTATTTGTTATATCAAAGTAAGTGTCGCATGTTTATTTTTGCTTCGCTTAAAAAAAAGTATAAAAACAGTTCAGACAAAACTTTCTCGAAAAAAGTTTTAGATTTTCACATCTATTTTGAAGTCAGATTTTAAAAAATTCAAAATGGTAAATAAAATATGTCGGTCGAATTTTTAAAAATTTAACATTTTCGCTTGAAAATAGTTGAAAATTTTGAAAAACGGACACCGAATTCAAGCAAATATGTATAATTTTTAAAAATTTGTCCGCTATATTGGATCCGACATTTTTAATTTTCCAAATCTGACGTCTGATTTGTAATCAGCGACCCTAAAAACTTAAAAATACCCAGTAATACTTAAAGTACATTAATTACTTTTGTGTACTGCACACTCAAATTCGCCCTATCGAAAAAGGTGTTACGACTTTTTGTGAGCTATTTATGTACGCTAGAGTGTCAAAAGATTAAATATTTTTTTCAATTATATTTGCAAAATATTACAATTATAATTTAGAATTAAAATATTGAATATCCTGCTATTAAATCTTGCTTTTTATGGAAATTAAGCAACTGGGTCCCTCGGACCCAGCTCAGGCACGCAAGTCAAAAAATGAACTCAGGCATGTGAGGGTTAAACAATAAAGTTTTATTAATATGCTTTATTATATTTGTTTTCTTAATTCAATATTATCTGAAAAATTCAATTCTGGAATTTTCACGTGGAAACATGTGCCCCCCTCTGGATCTGTGCCTGCCTTTCTTCACGTACAAGCTATGTAAACCGACACCGACACAGATTTCAGTGTAAATTACTCTTATAAATTAAAAAAGGATTTTGTTAAAAGGCATAGATGGAATCTTTTACAAAGTGTGTGGCGGACGGTTTAAAATAATCCTTCTAAAGTTTAAGTTTATATCACTTGATTTACATTTTCAACAGTAGATAATATTTTAACACATAACTAAATGTTCAAAGTTGCAGACAAAATTTGTCATGTCGAAAAAAGTTCCTGGTGGGCACTGAAAATGAGAGATTTGGTATTTTTTGTCAATAAGATTGCAATAATAAAATTTACTGCAGTCTATAGAATCTCGAACGTATCCCATAGTTTGACAAACATTATTATTCATGGCAGGAGTACTTGGTAATTTTACAGGTAAATCTGTACTACTTGATGGTTCAGTACTTGTCGAATGTGTTGAAGGAGTTTTTTCTGGAATAGTTGGATTTTTAGTTGATGATAATTCGTGATTCAAAACACTGTTCAACATTTTTAATAGAGGATACTTCTCTCCACAAATTCCTCTGAAGTCATCTGTTTCTATACTCCACAGCATGACACCTCCTAATCCCAGTTTTAATATATACTCGGCTTTTATTTTCAATGACCTGTAAAAGATGTTTGTGTTTTCTTTAAAGGAAATTAAAAATAGCATTTATTAAAAAAATGTACTTTATAATATTTATTTAAAGAGAAAGCCTAATAAGATTATGTGGCTTTATATATTTATGACATATTTTGTATATATATATGGGGTAAAATTCTTGTAGCGTAATAAGTAAAAAAAAGTTAATCGGATCGGGTTGGAACTTGCACATAGTTTAGCCCTAGAGGTGAGTACTTTAACCACGACGTATTGTTAGGTTTTTTCAAAAAATGTAGGAGAGGGAGGGGGTTGCATTTTTTTGAAAAATATAAACAGTGAATTTTTGAATACTTGTAACTTTTAAACAGAAAGATAAAAAAATTTGACCTATATGTTTTCGAAAAGGTTTTTTCCTGCTCTTTCGAATGGTGCAAATTTTTTTTAAAATTTCAAATTTTGACCCTTTTTTCTGAAAATCAAACAATTTTTTGACTTTTTTTAAGCTATTTATTTTTTTTTTTTTTGAAAGCTAAAAATGTGTATTTTCACCACAAAAAATATTGAGATGTCTTTTTTTGTTATTTTCGAGATATTAATTAAATAATTAATTAATGTTAATAAAAAATGAAATATTTTACAAATAAATAAAGTTATTGCAATCCTGAAGGTACTAATTGAAAGCTGACGTAATTCCACATCCAACGAGCCCTATATAGACTATTTTGGATTAGAGGATTTTTTATAAACAATTGCCAAGTTAGCCAATTGTTTATTAACAATCCAAAGTACTTCATATAGGGCTCGTTGGATGCAAAATTATGTCAACTTTCATTCAGTAACGTCAGAATTACGATAACTTAATTTGTTTATAAAATATGTCATTTTTTATTAACCTTAATAGTTAATTTAACTAAAAATGGTAAATATTATATAAGGAGATGAAAAAAATTTTGACATACATGTTTTACAAAGGTTTCTTCGTGCTCTTTCGATTGGTAAAAAAAAATTTTTTAATTCAAAATTTGCCCCTTTTTTGAAAATAAAAAATTAAAAAAATTTTTTTTTTTAATTAATTTATATTTTATAGAAAATAAAAAATGTGTATTTTTATCAACAAAAATATTGAGATGTCGAAAAACATATAGGTCAATTTTTTTTATCTTTCTGTTTAAAAGTTACAAGTATTCAAAAATTCACTGTTTAAATTTTTCAAAAAAATGCAACCCCCTCCCTCTCCTACATTTTTTGAAAAAACCTAACAATACTTCGTGGTTAAAGCAATCACCCCTAGGGCTAAACTATGTGCAAGTTCCAACCCGATCCAATTAACTTTTTTTTTCACTTATTACGCTACAGGAATTTTACCCCATATATATTTAACCCTAAATAGCGAAAAGCGCTACTCAACAACTAGCGCTATTCGCAGTCCCGCTACAGGCGTACACGTTTAACCTAAGTACTAAGAGTACCCTAAGTACTTCTTTAAAGAGAGAATGAGTTAATTTTGACTTTTTACGATTTAATAGTAAATGTACACAACATATAGTTACATACCGAACATCATCATATCCAACCCATTGATTACCATTGAAAGAGTATGGAACTTGCTGTTCTTCATCAAATACAGTTGTCCATCTTTCATTTTTTTGAAGTTCACAAATTTCATTGTATCCTAACATACCCGACTCTCTGGTATATTTTCCAGAATTTCCAGGACCTGTGAAAGAGTCACCAACATTGTGTTTACTTGAATCTACTAAAGTAAATGACCTGCCGTAAAAAGCGGTTCCCAGTATAATCTTTTCCTGAGAGGCTCCCTGATCAATCCAGTATTTTATTATAGCCTCCTGAAATCATAAAAAAAGAAATTGTATTTAATGTAAGACTATCACTCACATGTTAAAGAAATTCTTTGTCCAATTTCTTTTTTTACTTTTTTTAAATAATTTTTTTAAACTAGAGGTAAGTGATGTTTGAAGATGAATTCGGAGATCATTGTGAGAGGCATGCATATACTATTTTCTATCATAAGTGCGCGAAATCTCATGTACCCCTACTGGAAAAACGCACATGGGATTCCACATGTAAAACTATGTTAAAAAACTATTTAACTACTTATGGGTTCCCACGTAGGATTCCATATCCCACATGAGATCCAACACAGGTTTATACGTGGGATCCAATGTGAGTTTTCCCAGTAGAGGCTTGCAGGTTTCGCACTCATTAGTCATTAAAAAAATAGTAGCAAAAAGTAGCCTGAAAAGTAAAAAAAGTAATTTTGCGAGTAATTTTCTCCAATGCTAAAAACCATAAGATTTAACCCAGATTTAGGGTAAAATTTGTTGCGTGTTATTTTAACACCAATTCTGGTGTTAAAATAACACTTTGTTTTTCCTGTCGACAAAGATAATTTTTTCCCGAAACACTATGATATTGTATTTCCATGTACATTGTACTTTTTTCCACTGAATTCGAATTCGAAGTCAGAATTGAGAGATAAGCTTAAATTTTGGAGATAATGCCAAAAAACTGATTTTGAGTTTTTTGAATTTTTGTTTATTGAGTTTTTTGCAATTATCTCAAAACATTTCAGCAAATCTAACAATTCTAACTTTGGATTCGGATTCAGTGACCCAAAATACGTAAGAATGACTAGTCTATTTTGCCGGACAAAATTTTTTTTGTGGGGGTTTGTTAATTAAGTGAAAAAATGAAAATAATAGATAAAATATGTTTTCAAAGTTGGTCTGTGAAAGTAAGTAAGTTTAAACAGCACACAAAAATGACACAAAAATTAGATCTATAAGGTGCTAAATATCTTGCGGTTACTTTAACCTAGCGCATTAACATTTATGTAAAACTGTGAAAAATAGCCGGTTATCTATATATATTTCGGTGGTGGGGATAAATCACTCTATTTTCTTAATTTCTAATTTTTTTTATATAGTTTATTTTTATTTTTATTTAGATATTTATTTTTATCTAGTTTTTTTATTTTCTTCTAATTTCTAGAAAATTTTAAAATCTTTAAGTTTTTAATTAATATTTATTTAGGCCTATTTGAAATTTAAAGAACTGATTTAATACCAATTTTTCACAGTTTTTCATAAATTTAAATGGGTTAAAGTAACCGCAAGATATTCACATCCAATTTTTGTGTGCTATTTAAAATTACTTAAAACCATATACAGGTTTTGAACTCATTAGTCAGCAAAAAAGTAACAAAAAGTTGTCTAAATAGTGAAAAAGTAGCTTTTAGTAGCCTAAGGTTGAAAAAAGTAGCCAACCATCAAAAAAGTAGCAAATAGTAGCTTTTAGTCCAAGAGTGCGAAGCCTGGGCTTCTGGACGTGAATCTGGGTAACAAGAAATTTTCAGCCTAGTAACTCGTCAAAAGGAAAAAAAACTCTCGATCGGCCGCATTTGAGAATAAAAATAATTATTATACGAAAATTCGTTTCAAAATAAGTAAAAATAATTCTGTCCTAAGATTTTATACATGGGCGATTCTACGTGTTTACCCCTTACTTGGCACACTTAAAATGAGCACTTTTTTAAAAAATTCATAATTTGTAAATTTTTAAATATTGAAGGCTGAAATTTTTACCAATTCTTCTACTAAGGTAGGTAGGTAGGTTAGTCAGTTTTGTAAAATGTAGTTATTTTGAAAAATAATACAAAAACAGTGTGCTAAAGAAAGGTTACATATGCCATTTAAATTGCGGTAAATCTATTTTCTTCGATGTTTATAGAAAAAAACCTGATATTTGAAAATACACCTAATTTCAATGACATCTAACTCCAAAAGTGTTGAATTTAGGAATTCTGACCAAAATACAAAAAGTTTCACTTTTTCGTCGATTTTCAAAATATGTTAACGAAAATTTTTTTTTTGAATTTGTTTATAAAAAATAAAGATTTTTTATAAACAAATTAAATTTTTTAAAATTCTTTTTTATTTGTACATACATGAAAATAATAAGAAAACTCTGTTATAAGTAACACTTGGGTAAGTTACATTTTTTTAAGTAACTCGTTACAGTTAAGTTTACTTATTAAAAAAAAGTTAACTAGTTACAGTTACTTATTAAAAAAAGTAACTCGTTACAGTTTCATTTACTTACAAAGTAACTTAACTTAATGATTAAAACTATATGTATAGAAATTGGGTAAAATTATACTTAATTTTAAACTTACGATATTCCAAATTGATAGTAGGTGATCTTCTTTTAATGAGGAACGAAGTGGTGCATTTATTCCGACTCTTTTTTTGTCATCCCAAGATCCACGTAAGTCGTAAGCCATGACGTTAATGAAATCAACATATTTTGACATCTCTCTAATATTATATGATTTACCTGCAGACGATTCTGTGGCAGCAACAGCAATACTTAAAAGAAATTTTTCTTGATTGAATTTGTCTTTAAGTTCTTTCAGAAGTAATGTAAAATTGTTAACGTCTTCGGATGATCCACCACGTTGATTAGGGTATTCCCAGTCTATGTCTAGACCATTGAAACCATATTTCTTGATAAATGTTAATGTATTATTCACAAATTTAGATCTTAAATGTGATTGTCGAAAGACACTGAAATGTAAAAGAATATGCTTATTTTACTTGAGAAGATTAGAATATTAATAGTTCTAAGTTTGCTCAACTGATCCTAGGGTCTGCAAACTATTAAACAAACGTTCATTATTGCTTTTCAAAACCACATTATTTTCTGTAAAGAGAAATGGGTGCTATATAGTAATGTCTCCAACACTGCCGTGCAAAACTGAAAGACCGTAGCTTCATATTTGAAATAGGTTATGTTGACTATTACATTTTCACTTCTATAAAAATAAAGAGATTAAAATTTCGATCAAATTTTTTATAATTTTAATTTCTATATTCTTGCAGAAGGAAAAAACTAATGGTCAAAATAACCTATTTGAAAAATGAAGTTACGGTTTTTCAGTTTTGCACGGCAGAACAGGAAGCAATGTTAACTTCAGAGGCATCTGAATAGAGATGATCTCATCTCAAGGTCACTTATGATTACTCTTCAAGGTAAATAGAAACAGAAATTTCAACAATATTTCTTATATTAGAGAGAGAGAAAATTGTTTCTATCAACTGCAACACTATTTTTAGCATTATAAAAATGCATTGAAAATAGTATTCATCTATATTCTCATCAGTACATAGTATTTAACAAGTATATACTTGTTTTATAAGTATTCTATAGCACATAGACGCAAGAACATTGTTTGTTGCATAGCACAAAGAATGTAACATTTCTTTAGATTTCTTCAGGATTTGTGAACATGAGAACGGTAAGTATAATAAAGGACGAGAGAAATTGAGAGAGAATAAAAGTGAACGAAAGAGAATACGAGAGAACAAGAAAAAATAAGAGAGAGAATTAGAGATAATAAGAGAGAACAAGAGAGAATAAGAGTGCACGAGAAAGAATGAGGGAGAATAAAAGAGAACGAAAGAGATTAGAAGAGAACGGGAGAGAATGAGCATGGTTTATTTTTAAACTTATGTAATGCATTAGAGTAACTCCAGTTTAACCATGTCAACAAATTTTCATTGATTTTCTAAAATGTTAAAACTTTTATGAAAATATGTAGTTTATAATAAAACAAAAAAAACACTGTTAAAGAAAAAATTTTAAAGAAAAATTAATAACTCAACAACTGTTTGCAATAAATTAATGAAACTTATACGCATGGTTGCGACAACCTACGCTACACTTAGGCTTTAAGGAATCTAAAGAAAATGAAGCTAATAATTTATATTTAAAATTTACGAATCAGGTGTCCGTTTTTCAAAATTCAAAATGGTGGATCCAATATGACCGACGAATTTTGAAAAAACTTTACTAAAAATAGTTACTCGGTTATTTTCTGGGTCGCTGATTAGGAATCAGACGTCAGATTTGGAAAATTTTAAATGGCGGATCCAATATGGCAGACGAATTTTCAAAAATTCAAAATATTTCCTTGAAAATAGTTACTCGGGTGTTTTCGGGGTCGCTGATTACGAATTCAAACTCAGTTTTTCAAAATTAAAAATGGCAGATCCAATTTGGCGGACAAATGTTTAAAAATTACACATATTTGCTTGAAAAAATTGCCAAAAATGACCCTTTCCACCCCCCCCCCCCTTAACTTCTACATTTTTGTGGATGAAGAACTGCAATTTATTATTCATACGTATTTTTACGTGTAGATTACAGGAAAAATATAGCTAGACCGATTGAATTTTATGTCTACGAGCTGGAAAGGAAAGAAATCGGTTTTTTTCGAAAAAATTGCAAAAAATGACCCTGCCCTTCCCCTTAACTTCTATATTTTTATGTATGAAGAACTGCAATTTATTATTCATACGTATTTTCACGTGTAGATTACAGGAAAAATATAGCGAGATCGATTGGATTTGATACCCCCCCTTAACGTTATTTATAATTTATTTCTATATAAAAAAGAGGTTATTCTTGTCAGTGTACGGAACCCACGAATTAGTGGGAGTGCAACTCGCACTTGTCAGATTTTTTATTTTATATAATCAGTATAAGTTTAATTAATTTATTGCAAATGGTTGTTGAGTTATTAATTTTTCTTTAAAATGTTGTTAAATTTTGTTTAAGCAAAAAAAAAACTAACAAAAATTTAAAATTTCAAAAAACGGTTGAAAGTGTTTTTTTGTTTTATTATAAACTACAGATTTTCATAAAAGTTTTAACATGTTAGAAAATCAATGGAAATTTGTTGACACGGTTGACCTGGAGTTACTCATTATTATTTTTTAGTTTGAATTATTTTATAACTAACACCATTTTTTAAAAATTTGTTTTCTTGGCAGCCATATATTGGCCCGAAGCTTGGCTGACAGTCATTGGCAGTAGCTTGGTTATTCCAAGCTAAGACCAATGGTAGTCCAATTCTGGTTACCAATAGTTTTGCCAAGATAAAACTATTGGGCGCCAAGCATGGCCCATTATTGAGCCAATCGTAAAACTTTTTTGGGAAGGTGGCTTTTTCCAGAGAATGTTTCTTATATTAATGGTATTTCTCTCAAAATGATAAAAAACTTACTACGAACCTCGAGTACTTTCTTGATCCTTCATTCCATCCTCCAATTGCAATTAAAGTTTTAAGTCTCGGATTCTTTTCACGAAGAGCATTAAATCTGCCAAATCCATTCTTTCCATAATTATCCGGTAAGTCTTGCCAAGAATCTAAAACTCTTATGTTACCATCTTCAGAAAGACCAACAAATGTATAAATTAAATGTGTACATAATTGTGGATTAATATCAGCAATATCAAATCGTCCGTTTTCTGGTCGATATACTGACCAACTACCGAAGTAGCAAACAATTTTTTCTGTAATAAAAAAATTAAATATATGAAAAAGCAAACCTTTTATTACAATTAAGCTGAAATAAGTAACGTCAAAAATAACGAAATTTTTATCCTTTTTTAATATGCAGGTTAAGTCTGGTTTTTTTCTGGGATATTTTTAAACAAACAAAATTTAACGAGGAGTTTTATATGCTATGTAGAAAGTATTGTCTTGGGTTACAATGATATCTTAAGGGGAGGCACTACCCCCAACTTTGACTCCTTTAAATTTTAATTATCAAAAAAGGTTATGTTGCTTTTCTTGCATCATTTTTAACCCAAAAACATATAGGGTGGTCATTAAATAAAAATTTCAATATTTGAAGAGGTTAGGATATTTATTTTTTCACCCGTCGCATATTTTTACAAATCCATGCGAGAGTTTGTTTGAAATTGTGAAAAAAGCTTAGAAAAAAATATCGTTAAAAAATATTTAAAATTGTAAGAGGAGATTGATTTTTAATATTTAAAATTTTATAATTTTAGTAATTTTTCGAAAGCCAATGATCTATAATTTTTTAAAACCATGTTTACTTATGTAATTTGATGCGCTGATTGCAAAAATCATAGTGAAATTTGTCAAGTAACTCATTTTCATTGTAAAAACCATAAAATAACCTAAAATTCATCGATTTTTGCATTTATCTCAGTAAATCTAAATTTTTTCAAAAAAAGTTTAGAATAAAAGTTGCAGGTCTATGAAAATACACTTTTTATGTTCTATACATTTTTTATGAAAATTGATTAGTTTTCGCAAAAAATGCAAAAACCCCCAAAATACCATGAAAAGGACCAATACTTCTAAATTACTACAACAAGAAGGTCGCACAACTTATTATCTATGTTTCTTATGTTATTTATTGAGTTGAGTACGAGAATGAAAGTGAAAATTGACGAATATTCGATTACCAAGGTGAAATGCATAAAAAACACATGTAAATAATGGTTCTCGTCGTATGTCTGAAACACCTTATCGATACACCTTATTGGTACTTACAAATAGAACACAGTCACACCATAAATTTATAAAATAAAACGGTTTGAATATTTTCACAACTAAACGAATGTAAATAACAATAAGCAATTCACAGTGTGGTTGTGTTTTATTTATGAACATCGATAAGGTGTATCGATAAGGTGTTTCATTTGTTCATATTTGATCTGACACATTGATTGACAAAGCGCATAGATTTGTAATAAAAGTTATTGAAATGCCAAGTCGAAAAAGATCGCAACATTTCCAAAATCTAGCAGAAACGCGATGGAGAAAAGAAAATTTACAATTAGAAGAAAGTAATGATTCAAATAACGTAATTGTTGATAGTAATTCTTCAAATGAATTTCCGAAACCGAATTTTCGCATTGAAACAAAGTTAGAAGAAGCTAGGAAAGAAATAAAAGTAGAAAATGATTGTCAATACGTACTTATTGATATATCACAATTGAATCTTTTACTGCAAAAAGCAAAATGTATTGAATGTAATGAAACGTCTTTGACACTTGAACCTAACAAAAGGCAATCTAATGGATTTGCAATGAAAGTATCTTTAGTATGTGAAGGATGTAAAAACAGTGGCCTTGAAGAAGTAAAATCTGAAATATTTTCATCAAAGCAAATTTTTTTTTCGAAAAAAACCGATTTCTTTCCTTTCCAGCTCGTAGACATAAAATTCAATCGGTCTAGCTATATTTTTCCTGTAATCTACACGTAAAAATACGTATGAATAATAAATTGCAGTTCTTCATCCACAAAAATGTAGAAGTTAAGGGGGGGGGGTGGAAAGGGTCATTTTTGGCAATTTTTTCAAGCAAATATGTGTAATTTTGTATGTTCATGAATTTACACTCCTTTTCGCAGGCTACCTTCGATAAATATTTGAAAAAATTTGATTGCTGCGTGGATGAGGTTACGAAAAAGCTGTTACAAGAATGTCGATTGCTAGTGAGAAAAGTACATGCAAATAAAATCTCAAACAGTGAAAACTACCAAACAGAAGAAATGGAAGAAAATATAACATCTGTCGAAGAAGAAGAAATTGAAGAAAGTGTAACTTCAGCTGCAGAATCAAAGAAAGAAGAACTTCTAGACGTTTGTGTAAGTTACAACGGCAGTTGGCTTACTCGCGGATACAAATCAAACCATGGTGTAGGTTGTGCTAGTGATATTGAGTCAGGATTTGTAATTGATTATGATATCATGACAAAACATTGTCAAGTTTGTGCAATTGCTGCAGCCGAGTTAGGTGAAGATTCCCCTGAATATGAAATCTGGTATCAAGGACATGAAAAATTGTGTGAAAAAAATCATGAACGAAGTTCTTCATCCATGGAGATAGCCGTAGCTGAAAAAATTTGGAAGCGCTCAGCCGATTATGGTTTTCGTTTTACGAAAATGCTTTGTGATGGAGATGCAAAGACATTCAACCATTTGGTCAGTCTAAATATTTATGGAGAAGAATATGAGATTATCAAAGAAGATTGCATAAATCATGTCGGAAAGAGGTAAGTGTAGTATATCTTGTAAAATTGTTCATTGTAAAAAGTATGAAGCAGTACAAAAATAAGACATTTCATTATTGTTATTTTTATTTATTCCTTACATTTCAGGTTGTATATAAGAGCATGCAATCTTTTGAAAAAAGAAAGAGCCCGTAAGGTTACACTTGGTGGAAGAGGTCATGGACAGTTGAAAAAAGCAACCATAGAAAAACTGGCTGATTATTACAAGAAGGCTATATACAGAAATAAAAATGATATAGATGTAAATATAAAAACTAGTATATATTTCTAATTTATTTTCAAAAACTAATTTGAATTCATAATTAGATCGAAAACTTTCTAGGCAATGAGAAATGCAATTTTTGCAACAATTTATCATGCTGTTTCTACGGATAAAAAACCTCAGCATTCTAAATGTCCTGAAGGTCCGTCTTCTTGGTGTTTTACCAAGCAGCAAAGGCAAAAGGACAGTAACCAGGATCCCATGATAAGAACATTCACACAAAACTGAACAAACTATGCTTTGGAAAAATATTGCCCGTGTATAACGATCTGACCAAAGATGATTTGTTGATACGATGTTCACGATGCCTAACTCAGAACGCAAATGAGAGTCTACATAGTGTAATTTGGAGTAGGTGCCTTAAAGAAATATTCGTTGGAAAGTCACGTGTGAAAATTGCAGTTTCCTTAGCGATATGCGAATATAATTTGGGATCGACAAGAATAGTCATAGATATTTTGAAACAGGCAGGGTTGGCAATTGGACAGGAAACTGTGCAGCTGGTGAAAAAAAGAGATTCGCAGCGATTAGCAAGAGGAATCGAAAAATCGACGGAAAAGTACAAAAAAGCTCGCTACATCATGGCTCTCGCAAAAAATCGAAGGGAAGAAAGTTTGGTTGAAAGTGAAGGTGTTACCTATGGAGCAGGAATTTTCTAAGTACGTATTTTATTTTGCAATGTTTCTTGAGTGTGTCTATGTGTGTTTGTAAGTTTGTGTGTGTTTGTAAGTGTGTATGTATTTTTGTACGTAATTTACCAAGGTAAATGAAAAATAATTGATATTAGTTTGAAGTGTTATAAGGCCTTATAATATACAAAATAAAATCAATCTCAGAAATAAAAATCAATCTCCTACAATTTTGAAAATTTTTCAATTCCAAATTTTTCTACGTTTATTTTATACTTTTCAACTCAACACACTTATCTTACAGTTAGGCACAACTTTTAACGACAACATTTTTTGAAATTTTCAATATGTAATCAGACATACGACGAGAACCATTATTTACATATGTTTTTTATGGATTTCACCTCTAATTGCCGGAAAATGATTTAATTAATTGTTTTCAAAAAATGATATCAAATACTTGCTCATTATATTATTCTCAGTTTCATAAATTAATCTTTTAATTTACACTGTTAACCAATACAGATGTTGCAAATGCTATTTCATATACTTCACACTTAACTGTACCAATCGGTTGTTAATCAAGAGCTTCAAAAACTACAGTTGGTTAAAAAGGGAACGATCTAATTGAACATTCTACTTGGAAGAACATTCAAACACCCTGCATTAAGACTTTCAAAAATATAAAGCTTTTTAATGTCTTTAAATCTCTTTGTCTTTCAAATTAACAATTGATATTCAAATCACTATTCAGATCACAAACTATTATTTCACCCATAAAACAATATTCAACCCGCTTTCTATGTAATTAATTTTCAAAAAGCTAGCTTCCACTAATATCAAACATATAATATTTTTTTCTTTTATCAAAATATATACTCTATCGGACTGGGCCTATTTTAGGACCTCGCGTAAGGCAGACATTGCGGTAGGCCTGAGTGGCGTTATCGGGCATAGCCATTGGCAAGTAAAGTATGGGTTCACCACTTCCACTCACGGAAAGTAAACGGTCATCACCTATGTCACGTACATATACAATAATAGAAAACAAGTTTCCCTCAACCCAAGGCTGTGTGGATAAAACGGGTGATCACGGATTGCGTCCTGTAAAGGGAACTGGTGTACTCCTACTCAACAGGCTTGGCACGAGCTTGGACCTCGAGTAAGTCAATTACAGCGGGGGGCCTGTGTGGCGTTCTCAGGCTTAACGACAATATTAACTATAATAATCTTGGTATTCATTCATTTATTCCGTCCGGACCCCTGCTGGTTTTCGGTGACAGAGAAAAGAACAAGTTATGGAGAGAGAAAGATATATCTTTATTTTGCAAATGAGGGTTCGCTTGACCTGCAATCTGTTAAGAAGGATTAATTAATAACTCTGAGGACCCAGGTAATTATTTTTTTCTCCCTTTATCACGTGAAAAAGCTATAAAGAAAGTTTAAAACTGAATACGGAAACGCATACCTTTCTTTCTTACACCAAGAAATATAACATAAGTACTTCTTTGTTTAACATTGCATTTCTCTATCTAGACGATTGAAAATGGCATAAGAACATCATCGTCTAA